AAAAAAAAAAGTATATATATATATATATTTATTTATTTATATTTATAATTAGTGGATGTGTTTTTGTGGCTTTTATTATTTATAATAATCTTTATTATTTATTTATTTATTTTATTATATTTATAATTACCTTATTTTAAATAGCTTATGTTTATCAGAAGATAATACCCATGGTCATAAAAACCTGGAAAAATCAGGGCATTTAAAAATAGTAATTTGCAACCATGCAAATCTTAAAGACATGGAAAAGTGATAGAAATTTCTAAAGTGTATTTATTTACTCTATTTATGTTTCAGTGACTAGAAATTGTTATTTTTTTAGTGCAGTCTTTAAGTGGTATTTAAAAATCCTTATCAGACATATGATAAACTTTTTTTTTTTGCTTAAAAAGACTGTGATACAGCCTTTTTTCGTCAAATGATTTGATATGATGCTTAATGCTTAAAGGGATAGTTCACCCAAAAATATATCATTTATTCACCCTTAAGTTGTTCCAAACCTTTATGAATTTCTTCTGCTGAACACACAAAAAAAATATATTTTGAAGAAAGTGTGTAACCAAACAGTTGATGGTCCCCATTGACTTCCATAGTATTTTTTCCCATACTATGGAAGTCAGTGGCTACCGTCAACTGTTTGGTTACCCACTTTCTTCAAAATATCCTCTTTTGTGTTCAACAGAAGAAGCAAGCTGGTTTAGAACAACTTGAGAATTGTCATTTTTGGGTGAACTATCCCTTTAATTTCAATGTGAGGGCGAGTGATTGCTAATATCAGTGTAATGGATGTAAACAGAGAAACAGCAGAGAGGATTGGAGAGAGAGAGAGCGAGAGAGAAATATGGGTTAATGTTTCCTTTGCCACTCCCTCATCAGGCCGAGTGCTGAACAAACAGTCAAGATATGGGCAGATTCGAGTCTCAAAGTCTTACGGCCTTAGTGTTGTAAATAATATTCCCATTTATTTGACATGACAATTATGATCCTAAAGTTTTACCGACCGAGTCATTTCTGTTTGTCTAATGGCAGCGGTGTCTTTCTCTCGCTTGACCAGATTGGTGACCTGTGCACAGTTGCAGGCAGGTTATATACCGCAGCATTTTTAGTATCTGGTATGTGGAGGGGAAGTTAAAGTTAGCACCTGCCGATAAACAGCCGGCCGCCCTCCCCTCGGACGACTCCACAGTCACTGCTACCGAACGCAGAAGAGTTTACGAAGTGCTCCGTTTTCCCTTTCTTCTCTCTTCTCCTCTTCTATCTAGATCCTTCTGTCTCTCTTTGATATTCCATCCTTATCTTATCTGTTTTTTCCACTCCTTGTCGTAGCTCCTCCTGTCTGAGATAAAGTGCGAAGGTAAAGACACAGAGCTCAGCAGGGTGTTTCTGTCTGTCCCGCTCACACTGTAAGTAACCAGCTTCAATCCGTTCCTGTTCTTTGCATTTAGTTGGTTGTTCCTTTGGGATTGTGGCTTTCATGTGTTTGTGGCTGTAATGGTGATTTTGGGGATCTGCTGTTGTTGACGGTTGATATTGTGTGATTTATCAATGTGTTGTGTGTTTGTGGACTGACCAAAGTTTACCCGCTTACAGAGGTTGGTTGTTGAGTTTGATGTTTTTACTCGTCTTGTGTGAGTTTGGACTGTATAACATGTATGATTCTAAATATGTGAAAAATAATGTGTTTTTCGAACAACCTAGTATGAGAGCCTGTTCTAGTACACCCCCAAAACAAAATCAAGACTTTGTAAAAGAGCATAATAGGACCCCTTTAAATATTTGTTTATTCTAAACCTATGCACACATTGTCTATAAAATGATTTTACTATTCTGCAATAACCCATACAAAGTCCTTTTTTTTTAATACCGATAGATTTTTGAATTTAAAAAAAAATAGCTCAGTTCAGTGTGACAAACATATTTAAATTTTAAAATTAAATTAAATTAAATGTATGCATTTAGCAGACGCTTTTATCCAAAGCGACTTACAGTGCATTCAGGCTATAAATTTTTTACCAGTATGTGTGTTCCCTTGGTATTGAACCCACGACCTTTGATATTTAGGTGATGTGCTGCTTCACTTCCACTATGGAGAACCTCGAGCTTTCACGCTGCGATATGACATCAATCACTTCCTGTATAGACGCGGCGTGACACGCTTGGTAGCAAAGATGATGATGCAACCGAGATCTAAAGGTGCCTTATCTTTGAAGAAATTGCTAAGTGAAGGACTTTTAAACCAGAGATGTGTTGACAGTCACTTAAGAGCATGTTTTACAAGCTTACCTGATTGTGTAAGTGCTTTCTGTTCTGTTCCTGAGCTTATGGCTTTTGAATGTTGATTTTATGTGTGCATTAAGAGGTGTGTCCATTTATGCACCTGCATTTTGCGCCATACTTCCTGCTGAATCTATCCCTGTAGGCATGCTGTTTCAGAGCAGTCTTTACACAAGAGGTTGTCTCTCTCACCACACCCGTATGAGTGAAGCCTGCAGTGATTTCACATCCCGATCATGTGATTCAAAGTTATCCCTCTGATCCAGCTGAGAGAGCCGTGCTTTGAACAGACTTGACAGAGTCAAGTTGAAACAGGGTTATTCAGCAGCAGCCTGTTTGATTTCTGATAGATTTATGGTATTCTTGCACAAAACCACCCCAGAGAGCCTGAATCTGAAGCAAACATCTGAATACTCCAAATGATGGATTTGAACAGACCTCTAGGCTTCAGAATTTTATGTTGCTGGTTTAAGTTCTCTTATGAAAACTAGCCTATATTATTCCACAAACAGAAGTTTTGTAAACGGTCAAAGAAAAGTTTATCGAAAGCAAACTAGATTTTTTTACACCATTTCAAATTGTTACTCGCCAAGGAAGCCAGTATGGCATTAAAAGAAAACAACCAACCCTGAGAATCAAACCAGTATTTTGATATACTGTCTGTTGATTCTTTTGTTTTTTAGATGCTCTTCTTGCGGATTTGGAGTCCACAACCTCCCACATTTCCAAACAAGCTGTTTTTCTGCCAGAAGAGACGCCATATTCCTACCCCACAGGAAGTGACTCATATCAGGACGTGTCCTCCCCTCCTCGGCTAACCTCTCCTCCTGCTCAAACACTGAATGGATCTTGGGTAGAAAAGCCAGAATCAAAGCACTCATCAACCCAGGTAAAATGCCCCATCACTTCCTGAAGCGTTTCTTTATACCCTACACTGTAAAAAATGACCGTGAATTTAACGGTAAAAGACTGTAAAAATGCTACAGTAAAAACCTGTTAAATGGTTAACGGTAAATTCCCCTACTATATACGGTGAAAAACTGTATTGGACATTACATGTATTGGACATTAATTTTACGGTAGTATACCGTTTTTGGAAGTGAAAAAGACCGTATAATTTTCATTGAATAACCGTAAATTGACATTCCCAGAATTCCCTGCGTTACATTTCAAATTTGATGTTTTTTTGTTGAAATAACTATGTTTCTTCTTATTTTTTTCTTATCAGTTTTGTATATTAGGGTTGTGTGTTACACCTAATGTTGTTAAATTAATGTTTATTGCATTATTTCAGTTTCATGTGTGTTACCATGATGGTGTTTGGTGTTTGTGTGAATGACACTGTGCACCTTCTATATATGTTATTATTTAAAAGCTGCTTGTGATAGGCTTTGGTTCATCGTGTGACTTTCTCATCACCACCTGCATTTGGTGGTTATCAGTGTATTACAAAGGTACAAAACAGATTTTAGTACTTCAATAGGTTGGTATATTAACATTATATCAGTTAATGAAATTACGATATTTAACTGTAAATTTAAGTTAAAACCGTAAAACCTAAAACGTTGCTACCGTATTTTTTACGGTAAAATTCCGGCAACCACGGCTGCCGGTTTTTTACCGTAAATTTTACGGAATTTTTTTTACAGTGTAGAGCTTTCTGCTGGGCTTTGTATGAGGCTGCTGGTTATCCTTTAACCTTATGACAAATACCAGAAGCCGGCCTGTTCCACATTCAGCCTGTTGTGCCCTTGAGCAAAGCACTTCATCTTCAGTTGCTCCAGAGACTTGTGCCATTAAGCAGGTTCAACATTTCAAGGTTTCTTGAATGGGGCCATATTATACATATTTGTAGCATTTAAGTTCACTTATAATGTTAGTCAAGCTTTCTTGGACTAAATACAGTCATAATTAAATTTTTCACAACCATTTTCCTCTCTCTCAGTGACTCTGAGAAATATTCCGACTGTTTTTGCAGCTATTCCTTTAAGATGATTCGATTAGGTGATCCGAGGAAGGCTGTGAGAAGACGAAACATGTTGGCCAAACAATTTTATAATGAAATAGCCCGGTTTATGAAAGGTTTTTAAATTTTAACCACATGACTGCCTTGGAGTATTATATTGTTGCATTTGATTTGAATTATGTCTGTTATAATTAACGGATCGGGTTGGGTTAAGTTTCTCAATATTGAATCTGCATTGATATGTGAATATAGGTGTTCATGTATTTGTAGCTTAGTTTCATTAAATATTTGGCGCTAGACATCAAGATGTTTTGATAGCTTTCATGCAGGCAACATTTATTTGTTTAAATGCATGTTTTGGGCTCTGTGGGATCACATATAAAAGCCAAATCAAAATACAGGAATTATTAAAAGCATAGTTCACCCTAAATTAAATGTCCTGTCATTATATCAGTCCCACATGATTTCACTTTTTTAAGAATTCTCATGCAACTCTTATTATACAAAGCTAAAAAATAAATAAAATAAATCCATTAACATTTTGAGAGACTGCATGAAGCAGTGCCTTGAGAACGCAGGTTGTACCGTTAAACTTTTTATTTTTTATATTTCCCCATTTTTGCTTTAGTGCCTTAAAGTAAAACAACTTTATTTTTTCTTTCCTCAAGTCTTTCAGCTCGGCTCCGAAAAGCGCCAGTCCTCGTGTGTCACAGTCTGAAGAAGAGCACGTCTATAGTTTCCCCAACAAGCAGAAGACTACTGACTCCCCCACCGCCGTCATGAGCTCATCACTGGGCAGTAACCTGTCAGAGCTGGACCGTCTGCTGCTGGAGCTCAACGCCGTACAGCACAGCACACCCTCCTTCCCTACTGAAGGTGAGTGCTTCAAACCTCAGCGTTAATGGGTTGTTAAACATCACATCAACATTTTTGACATTATATCAAACATATCCAGTAGATGTTTTTCCATTTTGTGTTTCACAGAGGCCTACCCACCCAAACCAGCCAGCAACACCCAGTGCTATGTCCCAGAAAACGGCGTCTCATCAGTAGTGAAAGCGCCTCTTCCCAAGATAGAGAAACCCAAACGCAGTGCACCTGGACGGGGGATAGAGGACGTCAGACCCAGTGTGGAGAGCCTGCTAAATGAGTTGGAAAGCTCTGTGCCAGCCCCTGTGTAAGCACACTGCTGAAAACATTCATAAATATATATATATATATATATATATATATATATATATATATATACATATACACATATATTTGTGTGCATTACCAGTCAAAGGTTTCGAATAATAATTTTTTTTATGTCTTTAAAAATAAGTCTTTTCTGCTCACCAAGGCTGCATTTATCAAAAATAAAAACCATAATTTCATGAAAAATTATTACAATTTAAAGGAACTGTTGTCCGTTTTCTGTCTAAAATGTAATTTATTCCTGTGATCAAAGCTGAATTTTCAGCATCATTGACCAAATAAATGCAGCCTTGGTGAGCAGAAGAGAAGTCATTCAAAAACATTAAACATCTTAATTATTCCAAACTTTTGACTGGTAGCGTATATTTTATTATATAATAATGTTTAATGTTTTTGTTTTAATGTAAATATTTTATATTTGTTTTACCACTTTTTAGTGAGTAAATATGATTTAAAATATTTTATTGCTATATCTTCTCTTAACTTGAGAAAATAGAATGTTGTTTAAATTAAAAAATATATTTTTTTACAGTCCTACGTTTTAGTTTATTTTTTTAGTTTAAATTCAAATTTAGATACTAGATTTTCATTGTGGTCTTTTGGACTCCACTCTAGTGTGTAAATGAGCAGAAAAGTTGTGATCAAGTGAAGATTTCCTATCTGTGGTTTAGGCCTTTTCTTACATCCCATTTTTAAATTTGCAACATTTACAGAACCGCCCCATCAGTACCAGTGGTTCCTGAGTTGAGAGAAGTTCAAGAAGAGACTACCGCCCAGCAGCAGGCCAGAATCTCTGCCTCCTCAGCGACACGAGAACTTGATGAACTCATGGCTTCACTGTCTGACTTCAAAGTTCAGAGCAATGTAAGTCTTAGAGAAAGAGAGAAAAATTACATTGCTATTGTTCATATTTCCTATAAATGTTTCCTTCAAACAAACTGTGATTCATTGCGTTGCCACACAATAGAAAATTAGTATACATAAATAAAGTCGCACTGATGGAATCATTTATGTATTTGAAATCGACTAAGTGTTTAATTAGCAAAATTATTTTGTAGTGCTTATGTAATTCTTATTTATTGGCATATAATCTGTCTTAAATCTTTACAAGGGCAGTTTTAATGAGTTGTCATTGGATTTTGCATTTTAATGTATTGCAGGGGTATCAGCTGTGTTGTGATTTATTATATGCGTGTCTATAAGTGCTGATAATGATAATCAGATAGTAAACAGTAGATTATTATCAATCAAGCTTTTAAAATGAATAAGAGTTTATATGCCATTATGAGGGCATGCTCTCATGGGTCCAATATGAAGGTCTTGTTAGCATATCTGTCTTGGACGTGAGCCACACTGCGGTCGAAAAGAGAGAATCTGGAATGCTGTGGTTGTGGTGTCATGTTATATCTGGGAATTCTGGTGCTTATATTTGCCTTCAGGTTGGTAAACCAACTTATACTTCGTTACATTGACTAAATAAGCCAAACTTGTTGAGATATTACATAACGCATTACATTAGGCCACTGGTTTTTATGCATAGTTTTTGTATTGTAGAGTAAGATAATGGATCAGATTGGATGTTGTGTCACATTGCTTCCTCTTTTTGCTTGTCATTCCTTCTACTCAAATGCTTTCCTCCTTTTCTTTTTATTGTTGTTGTCTTGCTGTTGATTGTCTAGTCTGGCTCTCTGTCTCTGGAGGACTCTTTATCCACTAAAGGGTCAGAACTTCCCAATATTGTGGTGACTGAGAACCTCACAGTCCCTTCTGTCCCAGTCCCAGAATCAGATGACCGCAGCGTTCCTTCCCCTAATTGCGCACCACTTTTACTGGAACTCCACATTGTTGAGGAATCGACAACCGTTGCTCCAGAGTCCAACTCCACGGTGCTCTACACTTCCTCCAAGACCCATTTGCAGAAACGACTGGTAGTTTCTAGCACAAAGAGTACAGCCCCTGAGTCTCTTTTATCACCTGAACCATCTGCAAAAACTTCAAGCCTTCTGGCATCAAGTTTACGCACACGTGAAATCAGTTCGCCCAAGACTGTCGATCCGAAAACCTCAAGTCCAGTTTCGGTCACCAAAAATAGTCCACCTGTGGTACCAAAGGCCTCCTCACCAGCTATGACTCCAAGGATATCTAGTCCAGTGGCTAAAAGCCCCAGTCCACCACAGGTTATCAAGAGCTCAAATCGAATTGTTGATGTGAAAATTTCTAGTCCTGTAACAGTTGCTAAAACCTCTAGTCCAGTCGTGGTAAGAAAGAGCCCATGCCCAGTTACAGCTGTTAGAGCAACCAGAAGTCCAGTCCCTGGAGTCCTTGCCAAGAGCCCAAGTCCCCAGCCAGGGATTACTAGCAAGAGTCCAGTGCCAACTACCATTACACTGCCCGCTCCTCCAGTTTCAACCCTAACATTAACTCCGAAGCCTTCCAAAGAGAAACCTGAGAGCTTTGAACCGGGCATATTGGGAATAAGTCTTCCTTGCCCCAAGCCTCTTCTGGAGGAGGCTCTGGACAAGCTGTTGACGTCCAGTCTTTCCCAACCAGAGCCGGGGAAATTAGGTGAAGGAGCTCCTGCCTCATCAGAGGTCAACGATGATGTTCTTGCACTTCTTCATCAATTGACTCCACAGGGTGGCTTTAAAGATATCACTTGGATGGACGACTCTCTAAACCCCACATTGTTCCCTGGGGCGTCAGATGTTTCGCTGGACCTTCCACTTCTCCAGCCATCAGCGGTTGAAAGGCTCTCCACTTCTGGACAAGTATGAGGCGCACCAACTCTGTCAGACTGTCTCCAATTTGCACCCCTAAATTTAGCGAGCATGAGCGAGAAGCATGCTGAACCACATACGGCTGTTTATGCTTTCTCAAATACATGAGCCTGATCCTTGGGCCAAGGGGCCTGTTGATACTCAATCTGAACCTTTCCATCCTGCTTGGATAGAAGCACCCACCATTAGCAAGTTAAATATGCCTCTCAAAAACCTGATACACATGTGCAAACGTCACTTGGTGCTAGGCATGGGCCGGTATGAGATTTTGACGGTATGATAACCTTAAGCCAAAATATCACGGTTTCACGGTATCACGGTATTGTCGTTACAGCTCTAAAATGTTTTATTTTTAAATGACTGGGTAAAAAAAAACTAACCTTTTTTCCGCTGAACACAATATATTTTGTTTTTAAGCAACATACAGAATATTAGGAACAGTAGAATTTGTTTATTTTTTCTTTAATTTGTTTCATAAAAAGAAGAAAAATAAAGAAAAATAAAGACTGACATCTTTATTTAACCTAAATCTGTAATTACAGTTATTTAATTTCAGTTATATAATTCATATACATATCATTTATATAATTTCATAT